TGTCAGGTTTTCCAAATGTTTAGCTATTTTGCGTTAAAAATTATCATTGGGTAAGGTACAAAAAGAGAGGTTGAAGCAGGAGCTGGAATGCAGCACCTCCAGTGCCCATGTGAGCACTTTCACAGCTAGAGTTCTTGCGCTCGTATATTTTGCCCTACGTTTCTTCTCGCCGTGCAGTGCCACAGTTACATCAGGACGGCTGGCAAGCGCTGTCTTCTACAACCTGCTCCAGCACAGGTTTCACAATAGCCTGTCTGGACCCTGCAGGAGATTAGATCCGACACCACCCAGTTTGTACATGTAGGTAAGATGCCAGTGTGAGACAGGCACCAGATCTCTCCCCTTAGCAAGTATGTAGTCAATTAGTACAATTTTGGCAACATAGGAAGGTTGCTAGTGAAATACTAAAGCCTATGGCTCAACAAGCACAGGAGATGATAATGAAGACTTGGAAGATTACACTTTTTCGTTTATTAAACTGTGGCCAGACAGATGCAAGCAGTAATGTGTTTTTGGGCCAGGTGAGTACTTCCATGTCTCTGCTATACAGACTAAAACACAATCCTTTTAACTAATCTTCAGCGGTCTCCTGGGCCAACAGTGCTGAAATTCAGTTTTGCCCCACAGCCCTTTTATTAATCTGAATAGGCAACTATTCAACGATGTAGACGAACTAGGGAATGCAACATGACATTTTCACTTATTTCTTGTCTGCTTTACTAATCTTATTCACTTATAACTTGGCAATTTCTATACTTCTCCAGTTAAATGTCCATCTCATCCAATACCCTTTCATTCAGCACCAAGTGCCTCAGAAAAACATGAAGAAAAACCCTTAGTAGAGTAAGACGAGTCAGGAAAAAAGTGTTCATTGTTTTCTCCATTTAAAGGTACCCTCGAATACAAACGTTGATATCTATTATACTGCAGCCTACTTACAGTAACGATAGACATTCTTGTTACCCAATCAAAAAATGTCCAAACATTTTTAAAACTACTACAGGTTTCTGGGTTCAAGGATGTCTTGTTGAAGTGATCTGAAGAATTCAAACATACATGAGGTGTATTTCTCCTGTTAGAAGGTAACCACTATGTCTAATTATCTTTTTAAGGGCCAACATGTCTGTGGTACTTTTCAGCATACTCATCACTTCTTTAAAAGAAGGAATCCTAATATGTATTCTCTCTTCATGAAGTAATTTTCCCATGTTTATCCATGTTTATCAAACTGCCATGTCCTGTTTTTTCTGCTCCATCCCTTTTGAGACAGGACACTATGCTTACTCTAGTCACCCAGCGAGAGCATACCATCATTGGTTACAATGGCATTAACACATTAGTTCTGATACAGCTTCCTGTAGAGCAGCAAGGCGAAATCAGTTCTAGGGGGCTAGGATTAAAGCATTAATTTTCTGTATTGGTAGTTATTTTCTGGCTATTTGGCATTGACTCTGTAGATATTCAATGTCGACTCTTTGTCAAAATTGAAACTACACAGATGTGAGGCAGCAGGACACAAGTTCCACTGACTTTATGTCCAGAAAAAAAAGAAAAAAGCTCATCTAACCTCATCCCTTGTACAGTGTCAGCCAACAACATTTCCCATGGACTTTTCTATCTAATCTACACCATGTGAATGAATTCATTAGAGCATACATCCTTGTGTCAAAACATCCAGTCTTTAGCTATAAACTCCCAGATGAAAATGAGCCAACTGATGGATGGCTATACTTCTATCTTATATTCAGTTTGAACTTAGACCACATCAAATTGCAGAGCTTTTATTGTGTAACACTTTTGCCTGCTAATTTAAGAAGCCTTGTAATTACCATTCTTCACCTTTGACTTCATTTTAATGCAGTTTTTGGTCTGGGAGTTAGACACACCAGTCATTACAACCACCCTAATTAGAATCAAAGTGAGGGAGAGTAGAGGCAGGGGGCTCTAGGAAGACTCAGGTACAGCAGGTTACTCAGGGCCTTGAGCAGTTGGGTCTTGATTATCTCCAGGGATGAACACTCCTCAGTCTCTCTGAGCATCTATACCAGTGTTTGACCACACTCACAGTAGACAAAGTTTTTTTTCTGATGTTTAAATGAAATTTCGTGGTTTTCAGTTTGTGCCTTCCTTCCTTTCATTGGGCAACACTGAGAAGAGTCTGACTCCATCCTCTTACTCTCTCCCGTTGCATATTTATACACATGAATAACATCCTCCCCGATCTCTTCCATCTCAAGACTAATCATCAGCCTCTGCTTGTCTCAGAAGTGCTCCAATCCTTTTCAGCATCTTTGCAGCTCTTCAATGGGCTTTCTTCTGAAATTTCTTTCTGAATATTGTGTCCAGTTTTGGGCCCCTCGCTTTAAGAGAGATATTGAGCTCCTGGAGCGAGTCCAAAGAAGGGCAACTAAACTGGTCAAGGGGCTGGAAAATAAAACTTATGAGGAGTGGCTGAGGGAGTTGGGGCTGTTTAGCCTGGAGAAGAGGAGGCTGAGGGGAGACCTGATTACGGCCTACAAATACTTGAGAAAAGATGGTGGGGAGGTGGGGGAAGGGCTCTTTACATTAGTGATGGGTGATAGGACAAGAGGAAATGGGCATAAGCTTAGTCAGGGGAGATTCAGGTTGGATGTTAGGAAGTATTTCTTCTCTGAAAGGGTTGTCAGCCACTGGAATAGGCTGCCCAGGGAGGTGGTTGAGTCCCCATCCCTGGATGTGTTTAAGAATTGGGTGGATGATCTACTTGAGGATATGGTTTAATGGGGATTAGGGATGGTTGGACTCGATGATCTATAAGGTCTTTTCCAACCTAGAAATCTATGAATCTGTGAATCTTCAGTATGGCTGTGTCTCTCTTGTACTGGGGAGTGCCCCAACCTGGACTCAGCACTCCAGGTGTGTTCTCACCAGGGCTGAGCAGACAGGAAGGATCACCTCCATTGGCCCAGAGTACTGCTGGCTGATGTTCTGTTTGGTGTCCACCGCAATCCTTGGTGCCTTTACTGAAGAGCTGTTTTCCAGCTAAACACCCCTCAGCCTGTTTGGGTGGGTGCTTGGGGTTTCTTTCTCCCCAGGGCAGGACTTGGTATTTCCCTTTGCTCAGCTTCAGGAGGTTCCCATTGGCCCAGATCTCCAGTCTCTTGACATCCCACTGAAAGGCAGCGCAATCACCTGGTGTATCAACCCCTCCTCCTCTTTGAGGGTGTGCTCTGTCCTACCATCCGGGTCACTAATACAGATGTTAAACAGTATTGGTACAGCACTAGTGACTGATTTCCACAATCCTTGGAGCCTGGCAGTTCAGACGGTTTTCAATCCACATCACTGGCCACCTACCAGTCATACTTCATCAGTTTGACTGTGAGGACATTATGGGAGACAATGTTAAAATCTTTGCTTAAGTCAAGAAAGATAACTCTCTCCCCTCGTCTACCAGACAGACAACTCACTGAAGAAAGCTATCAGATTGATCAGGCAGGATTTCCTCTTCATAAATCAACAAGTGCTTCTAATCACCTTCTTGCTCCTAATATGTTTGGAAATGGTTCCCAGGAGGATTTGCTGCAGCACCTTCTATGACCAGGCAGTACTTCCCCAGATCCTCCTTCTCACCTCTCTTGAACACAGCTGCAACATTTCCTTCCCTCCAGTCTTCAGGAACCTCTCCCAATCAACATCATCTTCCAGAGGTAATAAAGAGGGGCCTCACAACGACATCAACCAGCTCTCATTCATCAGGGATACACCTCACAAGATTGTGTGAACTTGTTGTGTTTAATTGCTTTAGGGGTCTTCTGGGTCTGGGATTTCTGAAGGCAAGTTTTACTAGTAAAGAGTAAGGTGAAGAAGGCATTGAGTACTTCAGCCTTCTCCATCTCCTTTACCACTTGAAAAAGGAAATTTATGGTCTTCAAGCATCATCCTGATCTGCAGACTTGGTCTGTAAATGCATGCCAGGGACCAAGTGCTTCAGTGTCTGATCAGTCAGATCTCTTTTTGTCAGAAGCTAGGACTTTATTTCATGCCACTGCAGCTGCAGAACAGTTTCATGTTTTGAAGAGCAAGAGGAACCAATTCCAAAATGGGACTATACCACAAAATGTGGTTATGCAGTGCTTACAAAATGATTGACCCTTCTCTCTTTTTAGACAACTCAACACCTAAGGATTTATGATGTCATGCCTACGCTCGCAAGGCAGGGAGCTCCTTTGGTTTTGTCTGTGTACAAATATATATGTATATGGCTTGTCAAGTAATCATAAATTCTGTATTCTCTAGAGTAAGCTCTCTCCCTTGCCAAACAGATAGTAGCTTTCTCTCCTCATGTTGAGGTGATATTTTTACGTTGTCACTGAGTGTTAAATCTTACTTATATTTGCTTAAATTAAATATGTCTAAGGTTAATCTTTTTTTTTTTTAAGTGACTTATTTCATTTATTTGAACAGATCTGGTTTATTTTGGGTCACTAAAATCTAATTAAATTTCTGTTATCTCCAGAGTGCAATCTCCCATGAGTTTTTTCTGTTAATACTCCTGCTTCATGCCTCTCTGCTTGAGTGTTACCTGTAACAGTAGGAAAGGAGAAATTTCACATGAAACTCTATATGGGAAGAGAAGGGCTTGGTGGGTTGTTTTTTTCTTAAGGAATATATCCTTTGAAAGTATAAAGATATCAATAAAGGAGAAAATCATGTTTGGTGAAATATTAAAATACATTTTTAACATAATTAAATTCAGTTAAATATATTTTAAATTATTTTTTCCTAATTGTTTTGAACCCTTCTCTTTGCAAAATCATTTTAGTTCAGCCTATTCTGTAAAGTTATTCAGAAATCGTCTCAAGTACTGCACATGGCAAGCAGAGCTCGCTTTCCAGAATTGTGTACTTGAAAGTCAGAGAGGAACTCTTGGTTTGCCTTTCAATATTTTGAGATACAAAAGAAATAGCTGCAAAACTGAAACTGTGGACAGGATTTCTTAAGGCTTTTAAACCTTTCAGCTCATCACACTGAGGACAAATCCAGATGCAGCCACACAGAACAGACGATTTCAGTTCACTCAAAATCAAAAGAAAGAAGATTCAAAAACATCAACATCAGTCACCAGCGTCAATCAGGCCAGCACATCTCGACTAGAAGGATTGCAGTCAGAGAACCACCGCTTGAGAATGAAAATTACAGAGGTATTTTTTATTGTATATGCTGCCTAGGCATTTTTTTGTTGCAATTCTGTAATCTGCTTAAATGTTGGCTGCTTTTTAGAGGAAGAACATCAGCTTTCCACATAGAAAAATATCAACATAATAGGAAACAGATTATTTCTATGAAGACCTAATTAATACAGAGAATACTTAGCAGGTGTGATAAAATGAAAATGTGCCTTAGCAAATTAAGCTCAAACTTCCCCTATGTGTTTGTAACAGGCGAATTACCCTGCTGCTTCCCATGGGCATGCTGAGCACCATGGAGCAATAGCTCTGGAAGCGCGACCTTTACATGCAAGCATAACAGAGACCCGCAGCCCCAGGGGCACTTAAGAGCTATCTTTGTTCCTGTTTATGGCTGAGTTCAGAGACTGCTGTTGCTGTTATTTCTCAACCTCTCTGAGAGCTCGCTCAAAAACTTGCTAGACAGATTTTTACATCTGCCATGAAACAGAATAACATATTTTCTTAAGGTAGAAAGACCTCTGTGATGACGCAAACTGACCCTTTTGGCATACAGGCCATGAAGTTTCTTCAGTCTCCACTGAGAGAAAGGCTAAGTACATGGAGTGCATTAATTCCATTAGAGCTATAACACGTATATTTTTAATTATGTCCATCCTTGCTCAGGAGACCTCAAATGATGACAAATGGGTCTTGAAGACTGCCCATTTTGTCAGATGAAATAACCGTAACTGATCTATATCTTACAAAAAATTAACCTGTTCTTCTCCAGTCTGTGAAGTATTCTTATGCCTTGAAAAAAGGTATTTTATTGCAACCATTACTTCTTCATCCTGGTCTTAACTAACGATAATTGCCTAGGTAACCAGAAGGTGTTTGCTCAGACTACCAAAGGCTCCAAAAGCAAAAGTTATCGCTGCCTTGTTAAAGAAATTTAGCTCAGCTTTGCCAGGTCCCTTTCATGTGAGAGCCTTGCAATTTTTGATGAAGGCTCAGTTGGCTACTGGCTATTTCAGTTTCTTTATCCTACTGTAGTTTTTTTCTACTAAGCCTTCTACCTCACAAGATCTCAGCCTGTGCCTTGCAAGGCTCATGACAATGATCACAGGTAAGGCTGGTCAAGGCAGTAGAGCCATATTACTGCACACAGGGTCCTGCTGATCTTTTTATACTTTGCTTAAACAGATTAAATTAGATAACCAAAATGAGTAAGATAAGACTTTCATAGTCAAGAGGATTTGGAGCATGTCCTATCATGTGTAGTAGCTACATCTCTGGCTTATCTACCTTGAGTTTCTATGTCCCAGTTCTGTAAGAAAACCGTAAATCTAAATTCAGCACTTTTAAAGTTCAGTTAAGCCCGTAGTGAGTGGGATGTACTCTGGACACCGCATCCTGGACAACCATTCACAGAGAGCATCCCCAATCACCATTAAGACGCTTGTATCTGGTTATTTTCTACTTTGGCTGTAGTCAATTGAATGCAAGTTAGCCTCTGGGGAGAGCACCCTGACTTCAGCTCAGTGCTAAAAGCTGGAGGTGTACCAACCCGGCATTTGTGCTGTGGCTCTTCCAGTCAGAAAACAGCCGTGCCTCTCTCTCTCTAGCCTTAAAGGATGCTTTTGGGGAGAGAGAGAACTGAGATTTTTGTTTCTTCCCCTACCTCTTATTTCCATTCTTTTCCCCTGTTGGAAAGTTACACTTGCAACAGCAGTTTAGTGCTAGCTGTCAGATTACACAGTTTAAGACACAAAAGATATAAAACATGGGGGTAATTTTCAAATCACAAAAGTATAGAGCATTCTTAGCCCCAAAACTAAAAACTGAGTTGGATTTTCTTCGAAATTTCACACGCACAGAGACATAACCAAAAAGTCCACCAGGAGTCTGTCTCTCTAAGAAAGGTAAAAGGAGTAAAAATAATCTTTAGGAAAGCAAAACATTCCTGATAGAGTTGACTGCAGTCACTCGCATGGCTGAACATGCCCCTGATGCCACAGTTTGCTTATATTCTCCTGTATGTTCCATAATTTGATTGACTCAACAAAGGGCTTATAGCTCTGTATGCCACATTTGTACACATAAATAGTAAATAGTTGAGAGGTTTTCAGACTAGGCTAACGCCCATTTCTTTCTCATTCAGCAGTACATCTGAATTGCTTAAACTGTCAACTACTAAAGCTTAGTCTTCTCATATGCCCTTTGTGCAATATCACAGCTGAATGCGGACTGTTACTTGTAGCGTGATTTTTAGAGGTAGTGATGTAGTGCTATAAGAAAACTGTATTTGGCAGTGTGGCAATTGCTTTACCACCTGCCTTCTAGTCTAATTACAGAAAGCTGTGCAGCTATTGCAGATACCTGAAGCATTGATTCCTGAATTTTTAGGAATTCATACTCTTTCTGTTTTGCAGCTGGACAAAGACTTGGAAGAGGTCACAATGCAGCTTCAGGACACTCCTGAGAAAACAACATACATTAAGCAGAACCACTATCAGGATCTTAATGACATTCTTAGTATACGGAACTTTACAGACAGCAAAGGTGAGAGTCCGTGAAATCCATTAGTAGCTTAACCCACCAAGATTTTGAATAGCACTCTCATTGGGTTGGTTCCAGAGCACTCGGACCTTGGCAAGACAGAGCTTTAAATATTTTAGTTGCATTACAGAAAGCACGCAGATTCACATAATAAGTTATATGGTACTCACTGAGTAGCTATTTCTCTGTATGTGTGTCTTCTGTTGTATTCCCTGTGCGTAAAATGCACATGGTAAAGTGGGAAACTTTTAAAAGCATGCTTGTATTCAGAAGTCAAGTTTTCTATGCTTTGCGGAGGGAGGAAAGTCACAGAACATTTCAGATCTCGTGAGAGTTAATCGAGCCAGCCCTCAGCAGTAGGAAGCCCAGTTTAATATGTGCTTGGCTGAGTAGGACGTTCAAATCCTACTTTTGGACACTGCTATCAAGCACGTAGAAGAGAAGCATGTAAATATTTCAGTGCTGATTTGGACTCTAAATGTAGAATTGAAGGCACTCATGTATGAAAATTCTTCCCTAGGAACTGATAAAAAAGGATTTCATGACGACTGTAATATTCCTAAGTTGTTTCTACTGTGTCTCTTGCATCACTCCCTGAAGAAATACACGCGAAAGAATTGCTTCCATTAAAGCTATTTTGCTTTTGGGAAGCAATAAGATCTGGTGCATGGTGCAATGAAGTGGAAGCCAGGACACCCAGCTTCCATTTCTGACTCCAGAATGTGACTTTCGGCAAATGACTTTGTACAGCTGAATATTACTATAGTACGTGGAAAAACTAGTTGCCTTGTGTTGGGAAGTCATAGGCTTGCATGTTTGTTGCAATGCTAGGCTCGGGCTTCCTATTGATGTGGCAGTGTAAACTCGGTCAAGTGGAACAGGAGCTACTCCTGTAAATATAGTTGTTGAAGAATACTTTTACAACAACAGCAACAGTTCATACAAGCTTTTGAAGTATATTGAAATTTTGTTTGGATGTTACTTTTTCATGCGCCTTTTGTTTTATCTTGGGTATACACTTGGTTGTGTAACTTGTGGGGGAAAAAAAAAAGGGAAGAGCTCCATAGAGCTCCCAGTGTCCTTTTTGAAATTAAAAAACAGAAAGGGGGAAAGGAGGAAAAGGAAAACGTAAATAGCTGCTGGAGGCGTGTGATTATTGGGCTGAGATCAGCAGCAAGAACTAACATCAGTGAGTGGGATGAGGCAGTTTTACCAAGTGTTTGAAAAGAACACATAGAATGTTCCACTCCTGTCAGATGCTCCAGGAAAAATGATAAATCATGAATAATATTTCAAGCAGAAAAGATACATTTCATTGTGCCAAATGCCCATCTGAGTTTGGGTATGAGAAATAAAAGTGATTCTCAAGAGATACGCTAGGTATAAATTTAGGATGGGATGCTTCCCACAGCAGGTTGCGTTCTATTAGCAGTAGGATGCTGGCAAAGAAATCAAGGAGAAAATATAACCTTTCTGCACTTACTTATGGCTCTATCTACAAAAGACATAGATTCCTAACTGCTGCTTTAAGCAGCAGCATCCAAGATTGACTGTGTTCCTAATTTTCCCCCAGTACAGTTCCCCAACTTCTACTTTTCTGCTGCCGGGTACATATTTAAAATCACCTGCAAGTACAGAGCCTTAATGTATAGAGTAGCTTGGAACTATGTATTATCAGGATTTACAGGGTAGATATTCTTCTGCATACCAAAGTTGCTGGACACAGTTTTCTGAATGTACCTACCACATAAAGCTCTACACAAAAGGGTGGAGGGGGGCAGGGGGAAGGCCATCTTTATATTGAATAAGTTAGAGCATCCATTCACCTAGGAATGAGGAAGACCTGGATCCCAATTAGCAGCAGGTGTTTGAAACTTGGTCCCACACCTGGTGGCGAATGCCCCACGCATGAGTATTGTGGAGTATCCTGATCCTATCTCAAGTGACGTCAAATATTCATACTTCCAGGCTCAATGCCACTGTGTTCAACAACCCTTGCTAGCCTTTTTCTGTTTCTCCATTTCTGTTTCTCCTGCCTCTTGTTTTCTCTCTTTCATCATTTTCCTGTCCCTTAGCTACATATCTGAATCTCCTATTTCTCTCACCGCATCCATTCCCAATAGTCAACCTATATGCTTAATTTAAATTTGCCATTCCAATCAAAATAACAAGGCTTTGGAGAATTCAGGCTGCTGAGTCACTGCTGCTTCTGTGCAGATGCAAACAGACATCACTTAAATGGTACTTAAAAAAATTCTGGCCCTTACGGCTAAAGGAAAGCTAACTCTGACTGACATAGTTATGCTTTCTGTAGCTATGTATTTCATGTAACTTTCTGTAAATGAAGTACAGAACCTTGAAATTATGCATCCCTGATGGTATTTGAGTGAAGCTTCAAAATTGTAAATAATGTATTAGCACGACCTTGAAGTGACCATGGCTTTTACCTCCACCGTGCAACTGGGGAAGCCAGTCCAGTGTTGTTTTTAAGGTAATGACAAGGTTTGTGCCTACCTTGGACCTTGTAAAAAATGTGAGCTGAGAGAGAGGGAGCAGGACAGCAAAGAGAGATGCTAAAAATAACAGCTGGCTTGGAGCTAAAAATCCTAGCAGATCGTTTGGCATGTTTGCATTGTGGACATGGCTGAATCTGATGTCAATCTTCTTTATAGAATACTTTGCTGTTCTGAAGGAGCTCACATAGAGAATGCCATGTAGTGTATCCCATTGCTATTGCTTACACAAATGCAGGGCACTGCACTTCAGAGAACAGGTAATAACGCAGGACTTATGCAACGCATCTCGAACAAATCCTAATCAAACTTTAATGTCATAGTACACTTCTGTACGTTTCTGTTCTGTAAAAATTATCCAGAGTTGATATTCCTAACTCCTTTATCCAAGTGCCAGAGGAGGTTGTTTGATTTTTCCCTTCCTTCCCCAGCACTCTCGTTTACATCAAACATAGATTTAGGATACAAAAGGTAAATTTCTTCGGCCAAAATAGGTAGACACGGATGTGCACGCCTATAACTGCCTGACCTCAGGCAAAGTTTCATAACTTTGGGATTCCTGGTTAGTTATTAACAGCAACAGCTCCAGGTGTAGCCCAGGAGCTTTTTGCTGGCACGGGGACTCCTTCTTTACAGCACTCCTCCATACATCTCATTTAAAGAGGGGTATTATCCGAGACGCTCATCTCTTGTTCACAAACGCGTTAATGTCCCTGAGACATTTACAGCAATTGGTCATGTAAGAAAAGCAATTAGGATAATGTGGTTTGTAATTTATGGTTTGATTGCTTTTTTTTTTTAATGCAGGCTTTTGTCAGCGCTGCTAGATACCTTTGAGTAGTCAAGCAGTTCTCAACGTGCTCCCAGACTGTGGCCCTGGGACTCAAACACCTCCCCCAGCTGAGTTTAAAAGGGCATCCCCTTAACCTCATTTGATACATTCCTCAGATAATTTTGAGTCACTGTGTCTGCCTGCGACCTCGGCTCTGTGCACAGCACAACATTAGCTTCTCCTCCAGTATTTGTGAGATCTGGTCACCTCGCTGAAGCGGCAGAGCCCCGTTACAGCCAGGGTTTGAGGCAGCGACGGGCTGAAGGTGATACCAACGCTTAGCACAGGCAGTTCCTGTAACTGGCAGTGCCGTTCAGCAAGGAGAGCCACGCTCCGAGACATGGCTGAGCTTTCCAGGCTGACATTTGGAAAAAGGAGGACAAACGCTTGTAACTGTGATGCTGTGTGAAGAGGAAGGTTGCGACGCACAGCTCCAGGGAAGAAATACCCTGGCACAGGCACAAACTAGAGCTTCCCAAAAGGGCTCCCTGAGCCCTTGTAGACCGTGTGCCAGAAACAGAAGAGACCTCGTGAAGGTAGAAGTTATTTCTACCTTGCAAGTTCCTGCAGAGATAAAAGTTACTGAGGAGAAAAATACAGAGGGAAGATACTATGTGGGTTGGGGGGGGGAGGGGGGGAAGTTGGCTAACTTTGGTGCGCTTGGAATCATACAGTCTTACTCTATTTGACTTCTATTTGACATTTTATTACATTAAATTATTTCTACATGAATGATTCATAGATTGCAAGAGTTTCATATAAAGCCAAGCTCAGAAGAAACCCTGCAGGAGAATCTCCATTTATTTCTACCTTTGACAGTAGTTTTCAGAGTAGCGTATTAGGAAAATTAATGAATGACATCCATCCTATGGAAAGTACATAAGAGGCAAGACACAGCCTTGTAATAGTCTCCATTTATGAACAAACCTTTTTTTGCAAGTTCTCTCTCTGCAGGCACCCTATCTTGCTCAGAAAGCCTTTTCTGTTTTCAGCCAGAAAACACTTTTTACTCATTGCTGTAAATGGACTGGGAGCATTCATTTGCATGTCAGATATGCCTACATACTGTCAGTTGTCACCCCACTCCAATGTTTCCTAGTGTTAGTTTTTCCCCATGTAAAAGCATCTCAAAGAAAAACAGATTTCAAAGGCATGTTGCTTGTAAATGTGAAGCAAAACAGAGTTCATCTGTGACGGGGGGGGAAATATTACTTCTATGAAGTTTCTGTGAGTCAAGCATAAAGCTTGAGATTGAAACCACAGATTCAAAGGAAAGCCTTTCAGAAATAGATGTACAAGACTTTGAAGGAATGCTGTTTTAAAGAAAGGATGTAGTTCATTGTATCCTTTATATGTAGAGATATATAAAGCTACGTATGCTAGTTTCCATGAAGCCCAGCAAATGGATTCCAGTCCTGAAATTGGAGCTGGTTTCTATTTGAACAGGGAGACCAAACTGCCACAGGTTCAGTGCCTGCCCTTCCTTGCACAGAAATAAATCTGTAGTAAAAGGAGTTTCTTCTAATTTAAAGTAGTATAAATCAGAGGAGAATCCCACTAGCTTTTTTTTAAAAAAAAATAAATCCCTTTCGAAACATAGCCATCAGAAGTCATGTTTCAGACTGCCTGGTGCTGTGAGCTTAATTCAGGAGAACTTTTTCTCATCTACCCAACAGATGATGTGATCATTTTAATTTTTCCTTTTGTTTTACTTTCTTTTCATTCTGTTCACATAAAAAGCAGAAACTGGCTAGTCTTATTTCATGGTCCAAACAACAGAAGTGTGAAAAATTACAGCAGATTTAAAAAATCTACCTTTAGCTTTAAAGTTTCCAGAGTTCTTTAGTAAATCAGCAAGGTTATCTCTGTCAGCTCTTATAAGTCATTATTAAACCACACTTGCTCCATTGTGGAACATAAAATGTGTTTTCTAGCAGCGAGAAAACAACAGTGGAATTGAAAGATGTGGGGTGAACAGTAGTTCTGGTATCAAATTGTAACCCATTGGAGGAATATTGCCGCTGAAGCATAATGATGAAGATGTTCAATAAAACTACAGTGTACAAACGTCAATGAAACGAACTTCTACCTAAAGAAATTCAGTTTCTGTGATCTTGGAAGAAATTGCAGCGGCGGCAGTCACCTGGTGCTTTCTGCCCACAGCTGAACAGGAGTTGTTAAAATTCATGACCCGTTTAAGCCAGCCCAGGTAATTTTGACAGAACCAGGCTGCGGAGTGATGCTCCATACGCAGGTCTGAAGCCAGTGTCACCTCTGGCAGAGGCAGAGGCAAGCAGCTGGGAGCAGCGACCTCCTCGCTGAGCCTCTCCGCAGCCAGCGTCAGATGTGCTCTTGCAGCTCAGAGCCGTGTGATTGGAAGCTGTTTCTCTTCTGCAGGTGGGCAAAGGTCCTGAGCTAAAGCCTTCTGGCTCTCACTGACAATTGGGCAGCGGGTTTTGTTTTCTAATGAACCCATCAGTGAGTGCCGTGCGAGGCCCTTAAGATCTATTTGTCTTTTTTCCCCTACGGTTTTCTGAATGGAAAGTGCTCAGGCATCACTTATCCAGACTTCTGAGTTCCAGTTTGAGGTCTACGAAGGTGAAAATTACTTAGAAAATGCTTCTGGCTGATGTAAATTCAATTTTGAAGGTAGTTAGATCATCCCAGTGCAACTCATTCAGTAGTGTCTGCAGTGGCAGACAGTACCCTGAGAATGAAGGACATTTTTCAAGTGGCATTCTTAACAGACAGAGGAAGAAAAGGTGGGGAGCTACTAAACACAGTGCTACACCTTCCAGGGGAAACTGGGAGCTCAAGTGTTCACCGTTACCCTTAATTTAATTTCATTCAGTTGTTCATGCATCTAAAATCAGTTTCCTTCATCCATAAGTTTCTAAAGTGCATATGGTGATAGTGTTTTTTCTTTAAGCTCCAGCTCCTGGAAGCATATGACTAAGTGAGAATCTTGCTCTTCATTATTTAAATGAAAGGTAAATGGAGAAAAAAAAAAAAAGATATTCTAGTTTCCATAGTTGCAGAATAAAAATCTAACAACTCCTCTCCCAAAAAGCTTGACAAACTTGACAAATAAGAATTACTCAACTTTTTTGTATTTTGAAAGAAGCAAAAGAAAAAGAAAAAGATCTTAACATTGTGGCAGCTTTAGGTGTGTTTTATTTGTATTTTATACATATACATTAAAACTTGTATATGGTAACGTTATATACAGAAATGTATGCAGTGTGTTAAGGGAGAGTCATCTGCAAGAGTGGTAGAAAAGGGTCTATTAAGAATAACACAGTGATATATGGGCAGTTGGTGTTGAGGGGTGAGTAGGCAGAGAATATATGATTTCTGCTCTACTTTAAAACTAAATCCCCCACCTTTTTGACAGGGACCACCTCCTTCTCTCTCTCTCTCACAGCACAACTGAAAGCATAAGAAACCCCGTTAGGGGTATACAACAACACAGATTAATATATGAAATCACATACTCCCAGATCCCCAAAGCTGCATATTCCAGTCATTTGATGAAGAATTGTATCTTCAGTGGCTTTGTAAAAGGTTAAATTGCTTGTTTTAGCCAAAGGAGTTGGGTCCTTAAAATAGTTAAATAATAGACCTTTTCCATCCCTAATTACAAGGGTTACTCAAATTTTAACTTTGGTCTGTATCATAAAGTCAGCAGTTTTCATTGTCAGCTTGGATCGGCTCAGGATTGAACGTTGTTTTTAATCATGGAAGTAAGAAGTGTTCTTTTCTGCGTGTCTGTTTATAGACATCACAAGGCTTCTATGCAAATGTCAAGCTCAATATACACAGAAATGTGATATATGGAAAATAAAAACTGAACTCTTGTGACAGCAAATGCCACACCAGCCAAGTTCAGGCTGCCCTGAGATGATAGACTTCATTGCTTATCTTAGCCACTGTCAGATTTGACTCTTTGCTGTCCTCCCTTCAGATCTAAACCATCTCTGAATCCTGTCATTTCTTTCTTTTGAACACTCTTCTTGCTGCAGCTGAATTCTTCAGCTCTCATTTACTGACATTTTCTTGCCCCAACAGAAGCAGCTTCATGCGTTGTGGTCAACTCCTTTCTCACCCAGACCCTTCTCTTCCTTGCAACACAAGTGAAAAATCTTCTCGCCTGCTCTCCTGAGCTGTAGCAATCCCCATATCTGCACAGTTTTGCATCCTCACCTATTCTTTCCAAGCTGCTTGCTAGATTTTTCCCAGCAGAAAGTAAATGCTACGAAATAATGCCAGGGCTGACCATGCTGGCAGGGCGATTACACACATTGGAGTTTGCCCTCTAAACATCCCTGTTTCTGCTTCCAGCTTCTTTACTCACTCTTTGTTTCTGCTGCTTGTTTTGTCCCACCAGAGCTCGTTGATAACACAGATATTCCTAGCACGCTGGGACCTAAGCGGTATTTGCGACTTCTGAGCGTTAGTAGAACAGAGAAGCATCCTAAGCCTTCGATATACACTGCATTTTTCATGCTATTTTCATTTTCTCTTCAATGTTTTCCTACTTTTCCCCCTCATACCCATTTTTACATTCAAATCCTCTAGTGTCCTTTTCCAGTTTTTACCTTCGAGTCCTCTTCCATGCTGCCTGAACGCCTGCAGTGATCCCTGTTTCTCTGTGTGTGTGGCAAATAACTGCCGGTGATGGATTTGGAGCTGCTCTGTAATTATTTATGAAAACTGTGCACTGTCCTCATTACTCAGATGTTTTCCATGTGACTTTACTTGGCTTAATGCAGCAGGAGACTTTGGAAAAGCAGGCAGGAACAGATAGGAACCCCAGCAAAGACAGCCTTCTTGAAATGGCTGTGTTCGTCCGCGTTTCTCTGGGGGACTGATGCCGCGAGCTTCAGCACAGCTAGCCAGGGACTACGGAGACTCCCGGGGGGAATCAGCTGAAGCAACCTATGAGGACAATGATGATCTTTGACGTTATCACTATGCAGAAAACTGCAGGAGAAGGCTTAATGAAACCATTAGTGTCCTTCCTGCAGACAGTCTATGGACCAGCACAACTGATATCAATCATATTTCCGTGCTAAATGATAGCAGATAATTAAATGATGGCACTTAATTGCTTATGTGATTGCAAGAGTATCAAGGTTTTAAACCTCAATGAGATTATAGTTTGTACAGGAAAAGACTTAAATAAGGTTTTTTGTTATGAAAAAGTAACAGATTTTGAGTGCGAGATGATATGATGGTGCAGTTACATTAATCTTTTACACAGCCTAAGACTAGGTGAGAGAGGGCTACATAAAGGTGAGCAACAAGGGTTGGTTTGTGGGTTTTTTAAAGGTGGGGGGAAGCGAAGGAAGGACGAAAGAGTTTTTGTCCTTTTTCTGTTTCTTTATGGTAGTTCCCTTGAAGGAGCACATCACTGAAAGCATAAGAGTACCAAAGACTCACAGGGAAACCTCAGACTATATTGGAATATACGCAGAAAGAGTTTATTTTGTGGCATTATGAACATCTGGGAAATTTTAAAATTAAACTATTTTAAAATGGTCACTTGGGCATAGTAAAGTAAAATTGAATGTGTTGTCCATGCAGATGGTGAGAAAGCCATTTTGAAAAATCATCTCGATCAAAATCCGCCAGCACAATGGGGCTCATCAGACCCTTCCAGAACAAGCAAAGATCCTATAGAAGACATCAACTCTCCAGAACAGTAAGTATACACCATTACATACCAGTAGAGAAGGAGGCACCCCTGCACTCTCGGATATGCATGTGCTTGTGCACATACGCGTTCTAGCTGTAAATTCCATCCTGAACACCAGCTGCTGTGCTGATAAAACAATAATTTAAATGATTACATTTTATCAAAACCCATACTTCTCGTCCCATTTATGGGAAGACCTTCACTGTAAACCCTTTCAGCCGGCCCCAGCTACAGGGAAAACCTAGATCGTCAGCAACAGAGGATGTGAATGGCACCTCCTGAAGCACCAGTGGGCAGCAGCGTTGTACTGTGACTCTCCCCTGCCAGCAGCTCACCATCCCCACCAGATTTAGAGGATAACAGGGGCACTAGATCCTAAAGTGCCCCAAAGGCAAACCAACATACTTCTTTTGTCTTGTCAGAAACATCCACAACATGATGTCCAAATTTTCTCTAGAGAGTTACAGGAGAAGCTGTGCCCAACCACCGGTGTATATTAAGGAGAGAAGAGGATGTACGTACGTGCACACGTGTTATGACTGTTGTCAACAGTCCAAGTCCTTCCACACACCAGCCAGAGGGGTTCATGGTGTACATAGCCGTTTTATGATCTTTCAATCTTAATCTAGCTGAGATATAAAAACAGTCTTAGGGCTTTTCAGTGTTACCATAGCAGCTGGACCCGAGTTTTGGCATAGGGAAGCCTGCACTGAGCAGTTTCCCTTAGAAACAATGCTGTGGCTACAAGGAAAGGATGGCACAAAGCACTTGCTAGATTCATGGAAGGGAACGAGCCTTATGGTATCAGCTTTTCTCTCCAGGAACCTATAGAATAAACTCACGTAGCACCCCCTGCCAGCTCAGCAGGGGAACCATGGGCCAGAGCTCAGGGAAGCACCGTGCTCGTTTGTCCTGGATCAGTCGTTTCCGCATGGCAGCCTGGTTACACAGCCACCACTTCATCAGGGAATCCAAGCTAATAGCTGTCAGCCTCCTGTTTTGTACACGGGCAGCTTAAAAGCTTATTTAAACCCAGAATAAATTAAACAAATTACTAGACTGAGTCACATGTTACATCAGTGACAGCAAACCTGATTTCAGATAGCAGTTACTGACTTGTACTACCTGGTGCAGGAAAACGTGTGGATTTCTAACTCTGGCTTTGCACTCAAAAAAAAACTCCAACGCAAAAGTGCACAGGAGCTAATAAACACACACCCCCATCCACCCACCCACACACCCACCCCAAAAAAAGCCACACACCCACACACCCACACACCCACCCCAAAAAAAGCCCCCAGTAGCAGAAATATCTGGATATTTCGCAAAAGTGGGGCTGTCACTGAGAAAGCTCTCGTGACTTTATGGGGTCAGCAGAATGCTTTAATGCATAGCTATTAGAGGTCTGTCTTTTTCCAGCACCATTTGTCAGAAATAATGTAGTGTGAATGCAGCCTCATCTGCACGTGGCCCTCTTCCATTAAAAGAACTGCTAAGAAAAACACACACACTCAGATAATCCAGTTTTTCCGATACAGATTTAATGCACGAAAAAAAGAAAAACACATGGTGACGACAGAACCTCCTCTAGGCAAGTGGTAAGTGATGAGGAGACTGAAATTTCCTAAAGGTCTTAAAGAGCAGGTCAGTACAAATCTGAACAGTCACTGACATTTATGGAAAGCAGTTAATGAAGTCCTGCTAAATCCAAACAGTGTCATTCAGCACTTGCACAGCTGTGACTGTGCCAGGTCCAAGGGTCAACATCTCCCCGGAGGATGCTTTGGCAGTTTGGGTACCAGAGCTGCATCACCCAGGCACAGTGGATCTGCCAGAGAGCAGAAGCGTAGCAGTCTTCCAGACTAGGGTTTTGTGATTCCCTCTCTTTGACAAGAGATTACCTCTTTCCAAACCTTGTGCTCTTTAAGAATATCCTTCCTCATGCATGTGCTTTTTTTCAACTTGTCTGGCAGCACTTCTGGCCTTCCATGGTTATTAAATATATCATTTTTGTCAAAAAAATACCCCAACAATTTAAGACAAGCTGTAGTTTGTACCTCGTCTTTCTCATTTCACTGCATACATAAGGCATCTGATAGCAAGGTAGTCACACAGTCTGCTGAACTTATTTCTTATTCAAGAACAGAAATCTCAAGGACATTAGTCTGAAAAATATTTTCTCTGTGCCACAAACCTGTGAAAGGAGGACATTAAGATCATAATTTTCCTGCAGAAATGTTAACTCTTTACTGGCTATAGTGAAAAGAAGCATCCCAGCTTCCTGTTGTTGACATCAGTCCAGAGAGCTGACATCTTACAGTGTGAAAGTTCTTGTAGAGTGCAGAAGAGAGTTTGATTTGGGGTTTTTTCATTCTTTCTTACCACTAGTGCTACATTTGACTAACTGCAAGTGTAATCCCTCATCCTGCAGTAGTGTCCAAAGTGAAGGCACAGCAGTATGCATGCGCTTCAGGCTCCGTCACGCAGGAAGTTGTTTCACTATTGTTTCTGTAGTGTTACTTAAAACATCTCAATCAGAATGTGAAAAAGATTTTATTTGTGCTTGGCTCGGATTAAAACCCTGCACCTAAAGAAAATGCAGTCTGTATGACTGTAGAGCAGCCTTAAAGCATGAGTGTAGATGATTCATAGTTCCCTTTGCCTCTGACTCCCCTTCCTGATGGGCAGGACCTGGTGGGTTATTCACAGTGTCACATAAAATCTGCCATACCCCGTCAGACCATGAGACACGAGGAGCAAGAAGCGGGTGCTGGCTGCTTTCTCTCCTGTTCACACTGGCTACATAGTGTAAATTAACGCTTCCTGTATTAGGCAAAGCAGTGCTGGTGCACAGGCTCAAGCTCTGCACTATGGATTTCCATGGTGCTTATGAGCATAGCCCCTGGCACAGTTGCATCAGCTTGTGCTTTCCCAGGTAACGCTCAGGCACAGTCTGCTATTTGGAAGCCCCGTTTGTGAGGAGGTTAGCTGCGTGGGTGGAAGCTGCACCGTGCCTGTCCATCTCAGGGCCAGAGAGCAGCCTGAACCAGTTTAGAACAGGTATAATAGTTCATTTCCCAGTAGGCTGGGGTGTCTCTCACGCAAAGTCAACTCCTTCCTCTTCCTTGGGTGCATGTTCTGCTGGGGAAGATCAGTGTGCCTCGTCTGGACACATTACTTCCATACCAGTTTTATCAGTGCAGTGTGCTAAGATTAATATTAATCAGGATACTATTTGTAGTCCAGCCCAATAGTGCCCTGCTCACTTATCTAAAGATTGCATCAGTCAGCTTATCTGCACGATGGCCGCACAAATACATCCAGTGGGATGTCTTCCGTAGCCCTTAAAGATGTTCTTCTGTGCACTTTCAATTCCTGCATGTTGTCTCATCTCATCTCATCAGTGACCTACATTTGGTGAATTAAGTTTTTGGCACTGGTGAAATTTATACTGTTCTCATTTTATCAGCAACAATATGTAATAGTCTTCCACATCTCTGAGTAAAGGTGATGATAGATTTCTGCAGGGCCCCACTAAAACCTGCCATTTTTATAGACTACTTCCTATATGTGGTCATTTTGGTAACCTTCAAAGCAGCTCATCGATGTGTAACCCTTATAATAGAAACTACCCTGGTATTTTTTTGAGCTAAAGATCCGCTTTTAGCAACGTTTAAAAGACAGTCAAATACCCTGCTGGAACCAGTTCTGTCAATTTAAGTAACCAAAAATTCTCATCAAAAAAAGTTAGTTATGAGTGGATTATTGCATTAGAGCCATATGCCTTGGCATGAACATGCCTCCTTTATTCAGTTTCTTCACAGACAGCAGTTTGTATTAGTCTATCTGTGATCCTACTCAAATCTGTTGTTAAAATAAGGTGGTTTTAGAATGATTAGTTTGCTTGCTAGTACAACATCTTGCTTTATTATAGCCTTTTATAACTTCTCCAGCTTCCCAGCAGTTGCTAAAAATCAACATAAATGGGCTGAAGAATCGATTGAAATGATCCCAGCATGCTTAGACATAGTTTACACGCTCTCGCAGATCTTCAGATGTTTGACGGTAGCAGCAGTAGTTCCAGTCCTTCCGCTTACCAATGGATCTCATCGGTGGTTTTGTACAGCAGAACCGAACTATTTTTCAAATGCCTCTGCCCCCATTGTAGCCTCATGCGTTCCCATGTGCATTCCATTGTGTTCGTATGTGCATTCACATTGGAAGTGAAGCTTTTACTTGATTTTATTTATCCCTAATAAATGGCTTTTCTGTACAGAGCTGAGGGTACATGCCCTATTCTGATACAGTACCCTGATAAGTGGCTGCTCTGTGTGTGGCACCACCTTTCCTCTCCATCTCCTTCAGCAGTTGCAGAAGACTGCTAATACTAACCATTCCCTCCCCAGCATACTTGACCACATGCTTTGCCATACCTGTATTGTATGGACAACTGAAAACAAATTGAATGCCGCCATCCTGAAAAGCATAGACAAAATGCGCAGGGGTTGAAGAGCGGGAAAAACACTGATGTTGGAGGGAAAAAAAAACCAAACAAATCACACAGTGAGGCAAGGTGCAAGATTTACTTTCACTTAAAGAGAAAATAGCAGTTTTGTTTGGATTTTGTTACTTTTTTAGTTTGTTTTGTTTTTCCCCTAAGAGTTTTGTTTAAACTCTTAATTGTGTGCAAGTCTCCAGGCTACAGTCCTCCGCCCCAATTCCAGGAACCAAGTTTTCAAGTGAAAGTAGACTTGAAGTACAGTTGAAGCAAAATTTGCCACCCACTGCAGCCATCACTGGCATAGCTAAATAAACATGCTTTGTCTATGGTATGGCTAACGCTTAAATGGGTGGAAAAAAAATCCCATTCACTTGATTATGCAACTGGATTCCCTTGGAATAGCTTCAAAAAGCTCTTTAATGAGAAGTCTGTAACAGTTGAACAAAGTAAGCATTTCCACTGGTGGGAAAATAAGCGCGGGCAATTCTGCGTTTGACCCTGCAACGAGAGACAGAATGACAATGCCCAGCGTCAGGCTCATAAGGATTCAGCGCATGGAAGCAGCGAGCTGTGCCACCTCTGCACTCCTTGGGAATGAGGCATGGTTTCATTGATACCACCAGAAAGAGTTGGGCACAGCAGCAGAACAACCATGAATGGATTTTGTTTAATCCCAGGGACACATTGCCAGCACTACAATGATCAACGCTGTGGATTAATACTGCAGCAAACTTTTAAAGGGAGTTTGTAGGGGGGAAAAAAGTGGGAAAGATCTTCCTGGCTAGGCAGCCGCTGTATCAACAAGCCTTAGTTTGTAGCGAAGGAACTAAAGAGAAGCAGCATTACTTTTCTTTCTGTTTGAATTTGAAAGCTATACTGCTTGGTCCCCAAGCAGTGCGATGGGTGCCTTGGTAGCTGTCTTCACTTCCTAACACAAAGCAAAAAAGAAATGAAATGTCATTTGAATCAGAAAGGCTGTCCAGAGGCAAGCTTTCAAATAAACACTTCTTATAAGGGCCTGTCCATACACAGTCATTGTATCAGATAACAGGGAAATATAAATTTAAAACTCTGTTGTACTGTCTGGGTGTTTTTCTTCTGGAATCAAAAAGCCAGTCTTCTGTTCAGCTCTGTCACTTTGACGTCTGTCTTTTCTTCAAAAAATCCCTCCATATTTCAAGAGCGAATGTCTCCAAATGCAGAAGCACTCCTGGTATGATATCTTAATCACTGAAAACATCTCTTGTACTAAGAAACTTTAACTGGATTTTGATTTTGTGAAAGGTGCTGGTATATCCACAGCATGAGGGTAGCAGAGCCCTTGTCTCATGGCACCATTCTCTCCACGGAGAGGGTTAGTTGGGCTGCCTGTGAACACGGTTTAATATCCCTTTTAAAGAAACAAGCAAAACAAACCAAAGTCCTACCAGTTATCATGATGTCAATCTGCTTGGAAAATTGCGTACAGAATGTCAGGTTCCTAAATACTGAATTTTGATGTGGGTGGTAGGTTAGACTGCTTTTAGAGTGCCAACTCCTCAGTCCCCCAGCACTGCCTGCGGCAACTCAAGAGCATCCAGCACCAAAAAAGCACAGACCTAAACTGCTACAGAGGGGAACTACTTGGAAAAAGCCATTGGTCTGAATTCCCTCCCTCCGTGCACCTGCGTTTGCCTTAGCTGGAGTTGCAAAAATGCCATCCTTAATTCTAGCATCCTCGTGCCGAGTGGTGCATGGCTTAAAATACCGCCTGTGACCTTGTGCATGTCTACACAGTTAGCCAGGGCTCCGCGTGTGACGGATCGCCTTGCAAGGGGCGGGGGGTTGCTAAGCCATATGCCCTCGTTGCAAACTTAAAAGTTTTCTCTTTTTCTAGTATCAGCAGTCTAACGATTAACCTGAAAGTGCCTGGGAATTTCAGAAGGCTGTGGGATGCTGAGAACGCACCCTTAGAGTCTTTTGTCGTGTCTAGCCTGTCAGAAAAATTCCCCAGGGGGAAATAACACGGCGGTGGCAGAGCTCAAGAGCAGCCGGCGTAATGCTCTTGGCATTAACCCTCTCTATCGCAGCAGCAGCGCAGAAAATGTCCTCTCAGCAACCTGCGAACATATCGAGCGTGTAATACAGTAACGTTTTCCTCTCGGCTAACGCTCCTCTCTCTCTGTTTCTCTCGCAGCATACAGCGTCGGCTGTCTTTGCAGCTGCCCATTCTTCATCACGCCTACTTGCCATCCATAGGAGGGGTGGATGCAAGCTGTGCCAGTCCCTGCGTAAGCCCCAGCGCCAGTCCCCGGCACAGACACGTGCCGCCCTCCTTCCGAGTCATGGTTTCGGGGCTGTAGGAAAGGGAGATCAGTGCTTCCTGAACTGCTTTTAAGTACTCAATGACTGGACCGAACATCTTACCTAGAACTCTGCTACAAACATATAACATTGGCTCTTACCGCAGAGGAACTACCGCTGAGGCCGTCGTCACAGGAGTGCCCGTGTAACTCGTGTGGGAAGGCAAAGGAGAAGGACACAAGGAGTTTGATCTGTAGCCTTATTCATGGAGTTTTTATTTCTTCACGTAGAAGTCACTGGAAAAACGTTTCTTCCCAAATTTGTACTCACAACAAGGAGGCTGGGAAATGTCAATCTTGCAAAAAAGACACTAGGGAAAAACAAACAAACACTCAAATGTCACTGAGCTTTATGTGGCTGCTGAGAACATACAATTCTATACTGTATCCACGTAAGGAAAACAGAATGGTTGAGCTATATCATATTTATTGAAATAGATACACTCATTTTTACAGGAGTTGTGTTAAAATGCTGGAAACATTCTGCACTGGTTAGTCTTGCTTGTTTTCATTTCAGGGACGATGTTCAATAGGAAAGGAGGATTGTGAGAAATGATTCCGCGGGTGTCACTGAGACTCGGCAGCGCTGTGAGCAGGGTCAGCTCTGACTTGCAGCTGTACGTGAAACCCAAGCAGAGGCTGAAGCTCCAGCTCTGAGTTGCCATCAGCTGGAGAGCTGCTGGTCGGGAGTGGAGCGCTTCACCCTTCTCCAGGGAAGATGGTGGTGACTGCAGACCATCTGTGGCTTCATTTTAGCAAAGTTTCTGCACCTATTTCAGAATAAACACCACGAACCGTAATGTCCTAAACTGTCTGGAAAAGTTCTAGGGCTGATCACTCAAGAAGCTGAGGACAGATGGGTCGTAAAGTCTTAATGTCACAGGATGGATTGTTTTTCATAGTTTGTTTGAATTATGTCACACATAATTACAATAAAATTAATTTAGTGGAGTTGGGGGGGAGGGGTTAGGGCACAGCACTTTGCTACTGCAGGCAAAGCCTGCGGAGCACGTAGATGTGAATATACACTATGTTTGCTTTGTACTGCGTGTGTGACAGTTGTAGCGGATCATAGAGTGGGCAAATCAAATTTACCAATTGAATATTTTCTCTGAATCCTGAAAGGACTGTGAAAAAACGAGGCTTTTTGTACTTTAGCTCCATCCCCTGAACTGAAGTAATTAGGAGGAACGATAGTGGCATACCGTCTGGCCCAGCTCTGTAGCCAAACCCTCAGGCGCAGGTGAGATACACAGGCAGCTTCTTTTTCCAAGGGACTGGAAATGTGGCATCTCACTGTCAGGGCTGTTTGCTAAGAGTAGGAGGGAAAAAAAAAACACGTGAAGCACCCACTGGGCTCTTGGTTTTCTTTGGCCCACACCTGTGCACCTCAGACCAAACCTTTGGAGTGATGTTTCTACAAAGGTTTATAAATCATCAATGCCCGAAGCACAGCTGAAGAGGTTCGTTAGCTGAGGGACTTAACCGCAGCTTTGACAAGCTAGCATAAATCTCCATTAAAAATAAAACACACCTCGTAGCGGCCAAAACCAACATGAATATGTATCTGAATCTTACAATCAGGAGCGTCACAAAATATTTCACTTGGCACATACAGTAAGAGAGGTTATGGAAATATCTGTAGCTTTTAGAACAAAAACATGTAAGTATAAACACAGATAAAATAGAACTCATTACTCTGTTTAAGCACTAAACACTGACGTTGTCACTCAATGTGTGTTGACAGTATTCTCTTGCTTTATTAATATCATCAGGGCCTGGTTTATTTTAAAAGGAATGTTAATTTTTAAAAAGAGAAAATTACAATATTGTATATAATGTATACACAAAGATCTCTGTAGAAATATTATTCCAACTTAGCAGGAAAAAAAAAAATCAGAAGTATCGGACCATTGGAGGTGAGTGTGTGTGTGTGTCTGTAACTTCGTGAATACTGACTGTGTGACGTTTATTAGGTTTAAACCATGCAGTACATTCTTTGTCTCAATGATACTGTAGTTTCTCCCATAACATTTTTTTTTTACTTTACTGCAGATAACAAAACCAACCAAGTGAATATAGCTATTTAATGTTTCTGTTCTTTTATACTGCAGCAAAAATGTACTGTAAATTTATGAAGAGGCTGTGCCCCAATGGCATTTTCCAATGATGTTAGTGCACAAATGCTTTAAACTAGACTGGAACTGCCAGAATAAAATGTAAATGAAGAATTTCTTGTATAACCTTATACTGCATGAGATCAATTTTTAATAAATTGTTGCAAATCTGTTTTTATGAATAAAATATATAAAATCTAGGTTTTTTGGACTCGGTGCCCTCTTTCCCCACAGCACAACCATTTTTGATGTGTATGTGTGCATAAACATACGTATAGATAAAAGCCTCCCTGGAGAAGGAGGGGTCCTGTTACGACATCACATTGTAATAAAATGTCAAAATACACATCATAGTAGTTGAAGGGTTCCCATCAAGAGAAAACAGATAGACGAGCTTCTGCCCCCAAATATGATTACTGCAGTATTCGTGAATGAAGTCTAAGCCGTTTTTCAAATAGGAAAATAATCAAACATATGCTGAACATTTACATTCAAACCACACTTAATATATGCACTATTCCCTCTTGCACCACAGTGTGAATTCAGGAGAAAAAGAAAGATTTTACTGTTTCACATAAATTATTGAAGTTGAGCCAATTTTCTAGCTCTATAGTAAAATTTTTGTTTCAGCAAATAAGTTTCTGAGAATAATCACCAATTGTTTCGTGAAGGCAAACACTAAATCTCTCCATCCAGTTTCATGCATGTGGTGGGTTTTGTGTCCTAAATCAGGTTCTTCTGCATGGCAGAACAGGAGGAGGGTGGGAATGTAGTGCAACGAGCCAGCTAGAGGAAAGAGCATTTTTAGTTGTTTGCTTTTCAACAAAGCATCCTCAAGCCAGCACAAAATGCCATAAAGCCTGAGATGAGGCAATTCAGAGCCACTGCAAATGTGTTTTCTGTAGATTTCTGATGCATCTTAGGAGTCCCACCAAACACATGCAAAAGAGAAAATACCAGTGAGGAGTGAACAGCACAGATTGTGGATCTCAGTGCAGAATGCCAGATGACAGGAGAAACTCAAACGGATACATCAAAGTTCATTCAAGAAAGGAAAAAAAAAAAATACCAACCCAACTTTATTGTGAAACCTATATTCAGTCAGAAACAGTGGGAGGATGTGAAAACTTAGAGCTGCTTGAGAACAATAGGAAACCAGAACAAAGCAAAACATTGCTTTAAGAGGTCAAGAAAAAATAAGAGGGAGGTGTCAGGGGAGCACATTTACTTGAACTGTTGAGTTTCCAGAGTCACAGCAAATAAGCTTCCTACACAATCATAAAATGGCTATTGAACTCGTGGAAGATTACTAATGTTGCAGCACTTCTTTCAAGTAATTAATAAAGCTGAGGATGGTAAGGGAAGAGCAAGAGGCACTTTTTCAGTTTCCTCTTTCCTTTAAAAAATATAACACCACTTCTTAAAGGTTTATAATCAAACCCTGGCTAGTCTTTTTCAGAACTTATCTGTTCATTACAAATCCTGATATGATATGCCTCTTCTGCCCAAGACTGGATCAGTGTTTCTGTCCCATTCTGCTCAGGCTTGCTTAGCTACTGGAAGCCAGCCCAGCAAGACATATCCCAGCACTTCTGCAGCACCCTATGGATGTTGGGAAGGCTCTACTGTGCTCTCATCCCACAGCCCAAAGGATGAGCCAGTCTGCCCATTCAGTGAACTGACTCTCCCTGTCACTGACTTGTTTAACAGGGATTTTCTTCTCTCTGCCTGAGAAGACTGACAGGTTTATTATAGTGGCTTAAACACCATGATTTTTATCTGGGTTCAGTTCTCATATTTACTGACTGCCTTTTCCATCTCTCGAGATGGGGAATAGTACTTATGGCCATTAATTTAATATGCATGAATATTAGTCACGAGTGCACTTTGAAGAGCACTCTGCCTCCGGAGCCCATCAGGATTCTGCCAGTGCACTACTGCGCTCGTCACTACTCACTAAATGACATTGCAGAGGAGCTTTCACAGGTCTAGGCCTGCACTGGAAGAGGTGGGGAGGAGATGGCCAGAGCCCATGTTGGGCTGCTGGCAAGGGCAACCCTGGGTGGCAGCACCATCATGTCAGTGTTACCACAGACATCTCTCACCTGCAGGCGCTTTGAGCCACCAGCTTCGCAAACTGCAACTGGTTTAAACCCCTTCCCTAGTGATGAGGTGCCAAAAGGAACGAGTGAAGAGCAGGCAGGAGGAGAAAGGAGGGAGAGACATCTCCAATCACTGAGCATATCCTTCACCACTCCCAAGAAAGTGGCTGCTACTGATGCCATCAGAGCCGAGCACCAAACAAGTATTTAAACAAATTACTGAACTTTAGAAGCTAAATTCAGTAGAAGTCAAGCAGATTTGAGGATAGAAGGAGAAGGTGGGAGTGCCAGCTAGAGGTACCAGCAGCAAGCAGCCTCTGGGCTGGCTTACTAGCAGAAGCATAGCAGAAAGGAGCTCAGATGACCTTGAGCTTCAGAAAAAGGACAGAGATCTTCATGAGCTGGCAAACAGAGGCTTTGACTGGAACCAAGGATTTTCATCTCCCGACCAGAGGCAATGCAGCACACGTACCCACACGCACTGGGTGCAACTTCAGCCGAGAAAAGTATCGACTGCATTTACAACCTACAGCTGTAACCACTTCAGGGACCACATCACCCACCTACCTGCTGCTGCAGTCAGCTGTGTGGGATGCTGCTTGAGAAGGGGAGCTGCCACTGGTAGCAAACCCCCTCTGCAGACGTGAAGTCCATTCTGGCAAGTCAGTTAGACTGGAGAAAAGCGTGCGTGTTGCAGAGAGCACTGGCAGGACATTGGGCAAGGGCAAGCAACCCAGCATTAATGGCCTGGGAAACACCATGATGGCCAACGCAGACAGATCCATGCTACCTCTTGCTTTGGGAATATGTCAAGCACTTAAAAGCAAAACCCATTCTGAGGACATACACAGGCAAGCCATCCCCAGCTCAGAATTAATTCTCCTTGGCTGTGGCCCTCTCTGCCACATAGCGCAAAACTCAGAGCCTGTGCAGCTAACACCCCTTGTTTGTCCAGGCCTGAGGGAACTTCATGCCTCCACATGAAGCAGAAATGAAAAACTGGACAAGAGCAGGCAGGAAATACGTGTGTGGCTTTGTACTCACAGAGTGCTCTGCGGCACTGTCACCTGAGTGGCTCCTACTCTGCCCTGTCTGAGGGTACTCCAGTACTTCCGAATGGCAGGGACCTGTCCAAGCAGATGGAGGGATGGAGACATCTGTTTTCCTGGAGGGAGAAACCTCATATCCTCACCAAATAAGCCAGGAGACATAATAATTAGTCCACATTATTAAGTAGGCTATCAACTGCTGATACAAATCAGAACAAGGCTTGTAAGAAGAAAGCATTCCTCTCCAGCATATGAATATCTCTCTTTGGGAAACCTTGTGTTCCT